TACTACCCTCTATATCTCTCGATTGGGAACGTTCACAATAACGTCCGGCGTGCGCATCGCAATGCATTGGTTCTGGTTGGATTTTTGGCGATCCCTAAGAGTATGTACCTGATTCTCTCCTAATCTACTTTGAAGCTTACACTGTTGTATGCAGCGGAAAAAAAAATGCAGATGAACTTGGATACCGCAAGTTCAAGAAGCAATTGTTTCACTCCTCGTTGTCGAGGATCTTCGCCAATCTCAAACCTGGAATGACAACTCCAGAAGTCACACGGTGTGGCGACGGACACTACCGGCGCGTTATATATGTCCTTGGACCCTACATTGCAGACTATGAAGAGCAGGTAGTATTGGCATGCATGGTCAAAGATTGGTGTGGAAGGTAAGTGGCTACCAGAGATCCTCGGGACACTGCCTGTTTGTGTCCGCCTTCATGACCCCTAAGGGGCAGCAGAAATCCTCAGGACACCGCCTGTTTGTGCGCATGGTGTTGTCGAAGTTTCTGCCGTATATGACCCCCCCCCCTCCCTAGTTCTCTCTGATTTCGCCTATCCAGAGATCCTCAGGACACCGCCTGTTTGTGTCCGCCTTCATGACCCTCAAGGGGCAGTAGGGATCATTGGGACACCGCCTGTTTGTGCGCGCGGTGTTGTCGAAGTTTCATGCACGGTGTTATCAAAGTTTCACGCGTGGATGACCCTCAAGGGGCAGTAGGGATCATTGGGACACCGCCTGTTTGTGCGCGCGGTGTTGTCGAAGTTTCACGCGTGGATGACCCTCAAGGGGCAGTAGGGATCATTGTGACACCGCCTGTTTGTGCGCGCGGTGTTGTCGAAGTTTCACGTGCGGTGTTGTCGAAGTTTCACGTGCGGTGTTGTCGAAGTTTCACGTGCGGTGTTGTCGAAGTTTCGCGCGCGGTGTTGTTGAAGTTTCTGCCGTGTATGCCCCCCCCTCCCTAGTTCTCTCTGATTTATGCAAAGTCTCATTTATATTCGCAGATGCCTTGCATTTCCCTCAAATCTTGATGAAGGAGGTGTTTCTTGGTCACGTGAACATACTGATGCGCTTGTGGATTCTGTTGATTTTGGTATACTTTGGGATGAGTATGGTATCATTGGCGAGTTAGTGGTATGTTTCCCCCCATATCATTTGTGCATTGTTGAACTAACAGTTGCACTCCATAGCCCTTCACCAACGACTTTCCTCGTGCCGACATTCACAAGCTCCTTGCCCCCGACATACTGCACCAGCTCATCAAAGGAACCTTCAAGGACCACCTTGTTGAATGGGTGGGTCAATACCTCGAACTCATGCACGGCAAAACACGTGCTAAGGCAATTTTAGATGATATTGACCGAAGGTATTTTCAATCTGCCGCTGCCTGTTGTGATTACTGACAATACACTAGAATTGCTTCCGCGCCGCCCTTCCCTGGCCTACGATGCTTTCCACAAGGCCGTGGATTCTCGCAATGGACAGGTGACGACTCCAAAGCTTTGATGAAGGTACGTTTTCATTCACTATCTCGCGTTTATCACATTTACACAGCTGTTATCTAGGTCTATCTACCAGCAATCGAGGGCCACGTACCAGATGATATGGTTCGGGCATTTCGAGCCTTGCTAGAGTTCTGCTACATCGTGCGCGCAAACGTAGTGACAGACAACACTCTCGCAGCGCTGAAAGATGCCCTTGGGCGTTTTCATACTTACCGGACTATTTTCCAGACTACTGGTGTCCGCTTCGACATTTCCCTACCCCGACAACACTCTCTCATCCACTACGAGCTTCTCATCCGAATGTTCGGTGCTCCGAACGGCCTCTGCTCGTCAATCACGGAATCCAAACATATCAAGGCGGTAAAGCAACCATGGCGACGTTCAAGCAAGTACAACGCGCTCAGCCAGATGCTCCTTACCAATCAGCGCCTGGACAAAGTCGCCGCAGCAAGAGTTGATTTCACAACGCGCAGCATACTCAAAGGGTCTTGTGCCTTCAGCTACTACAATTCATCTGGTACGTGGTCTGTTTTATTTTAATTGCATTTTACTCACTGAATTTCTAGTTGAGAATCCCTCATATATCGACAACGACGATGGAGACCCAGAGGTCCAACAGAACCCAGCGCATGCAGGAAGCAATCCCTTTGCTATCGAGAGTGATGACTTTGACGATGTCGAGGATCAGGGTGTTGTAGATGATGTGGATGTCATTGCTGATGTGCAATTAGCACGGACTTTTCGTGCATATCCAACCCTCTACTCACTGTGACCCTTTGTTCGTAACACACTGTTCAGAACAAAAATGCGCCCGTACTGTTGCTGATCTCGCAGACGAACTCGACATCCCATCGTTCCCGACCCTCATTCGCCTCTTCCTGTACGACCAAATACACGCGGACAACCACCATTCCTCTGCCGACGTCCCACTTCGCAACTGTCCATCCTACATGGGACCAATCAAGATATTTCATTCAGCCGCTGCAACATTTATCACACCCAGTGATCCGAGTGGAATCACTGGTATGCGCCATGAGCACATTCGTGTTGTGCCTTCATGGCACAAGGGACCAGCTCGCTTTGACTGCGCCTTCGTCAACACGGACGATAGGCATGACGGAATGTTGAGCATGGACGTCGTTCGAATATTCTGTTTTTTTTTCTTTTACTTTCACTAACAGTCACACATACCCATGTGCCCTCGTTCAATGGTTCCATCGCATCGCCGAGGAACGAGACGAGCTCACAGGAATGTGGATGGTGGCACCGTCTTTCAATGAAGATGGCTCGCGCGATTTGTCCATCATCCATATCGACAGTATCATTCACGGCGCTCACTTACTCCCAATATTCGGTACTCAGCTCGTACCACGCGGCCTTCGATTCTACAATTCTCTGGATGTATATCGAGGATTCTACGTAAATCGGTTCATTGATCACCATGCTTTCGCGCTGGCATCTTAATATACTCATTTTTCTTGCAATGCTTAAGTTCAAAATTTGTCTTAAAAATACTTTAATTGTCTGAGTGTCTTTGTCGGCTTGATGGTAAGACACTCAAGTTGCCATTCAAGTCAAATCGAAGCCTTGAACATCTTGACGCACTTGGGCGCCAAACCAAGTCAAATAAGTTCGAATTAAGTTAATTTAAGAAACGTGGTATTTTACTGATGCACCAAGGTTAAACAATACAACTTTGTCTCTATATGCCCCACCATCGTATCCGCCCACAATGAAGAGGCAGCTTCCAACCTGCATAGAGGTATGCAAACTGGGACCAATGTGTGTAACCGACTGGGTGCAAATTCAGTGCTTCTGTGTGAAGTGCAATTGCCTGATGCAAGTCTTCGTCAGCACTGTTTGAACAGTACATGTCATGACTTACCTTGTCAATGAGCCTCTGCATTTGTCGGAAACAAGTAAGTATTGAAGCTCGAGAATCCATGAGGCCAAGGCGGGTCAAAACACGCTTCAACAATGTGGTAGAACTTCTTGTGGTTCAGGGTTTGGACCAGTTCAGGGAAGGTTCGAACCAACATAGAACCGTTCGGGCAAATGGTGGACCGTGAACCTCACTCAGGTCCGGTCTGCCCCAATTCATGGACCACAGACCATGGTTCTGGACCGAACCACGGCAGCACTATGTGAGATGTCCTCACATATGTTAGATGGTATCTGCAACAAATGCGAGAAATGCAAAAGAGTCATCGTGCGGCTCGTGCCCCTTCATCTCATAAGTACCACATGATGTATTGGCTGAGCAAGTGAGTGATCAAATGAGAGACAAGAAGACACTGATTCGAGGTCAAACACAACAGCTACAGTATCAAGTGATGAGAAAAAAAAATGACCACAAAAACGTAAAGATAGCAAGCCATATAACCCACTCCTTCACAGTAATGGGAATTTCTACTCTCCAATCAGATGTTGAGGGCTATTAACTTTTGGGATCAACTGGGCTCATGGGCGCGATAGGAAAGATAGCAAGAAATTCATGCCCATCAAGGAGCTCACCCAAGCACCATGGACCCTTCTTCTTGTACTGTTCCAACACAGCTAAAGGCTTGGCATTAGTGATGTTCCAGCTCGGCTTCAAGCCCCGGGCCAGATTGAGCCAGGCCCAGGCTTCAATTTTGCGAAGCCTAAGCCGCCGGCCCAAGCCGTGGCTTAGCAGTGCACTGTCTATTTTGGTATGTAAGTTTCTGTTTATGTTTATGTTGCCATCTGGCGATGGGTATCAGCTTCTCAGTCGATCCATACCATGAGGTATGTGTTACAAGAACATCTAGACGCTTGGGCCCCTACTATTTTTCTCCTCATCCTCCTCGTATCAGCCCTCGCATCATACCCTTACCCCGACCTTACCCTTGTCATCCTCGTCATCCTCGCATTCCCTTTCGCCCTCTACCTGTCGCTTCAGCAAAGCCAGTACATTTGGCCGGATCCTTTCGCTGACGAAGCATACCCGTGCTCCGTTTCACCACCTGACTGATCCTGCGGACAGTCCCTTTGCCCTTACCATCTGGACGGTAACCTATGACATGATGCACGATGCATCCCCTTTGCCCTGTTCCCTTTCTTGATCTCTGACTCAGTGCACAGTCGCACATGCGACTTATACTTAGATCCGCAGCTGCACGATCGTGCCCCTGCGCGTTTCACTTCTTAGTTCGACCTTTGACTCACCTTCTTATCTAGCACGTTCCACCTAGACCGAACGTGCCTTCCTGTTATGGTCTTACCCTTTACCGATTGCCTCTCCCGGTAGTACGAGTTATCATCCACTAATACGTCCCCTGTCCTCTATATAAACTCGCTACCATGTACTATATTCCCTAACTTGAATCTACTTGGTTCTTGACCTCCTACTCTCACCAGAGTGATCCTTCTGCCTCGCCAGCAGTCTATATTCTATCTTCTTATCTGCTCATCGCGGATAAGCCTATAGTCTCGACCTTTACTCATCGACTTCGTCGACGAGCAAAGCCCCTGTTAACTAGTCGGACTTCTGTCCTTCTAATTAACGACGATCCTTACGATTAACCTTCGGGTGTCGTAAGCCTAGGCCGATATAGCTTATCGTCTCGCACCCACGTGACATAAGCTACCCGATTAGGACATAGGCGTCAAATCGTACTTGCCGAAGACACGCCAAGTACGACCCCTAACCTTGGGCTAGCCCAAGGACGTCCACAGACCGTTGACGACACAAGCTCTGTTTGAGCGTCGCCAACAGATACCATCCAAGTCGTAACAGTATGTCAGAATGAGATCACAGTGAGTCGCCGTTGTCATGTTATGAAAGCTGGCTGATATTTACCCCGGTCTTGAAAAGCAAACATTCAGCAATCCATGTGCCTCTACAGTCTTGCCTGGCACTTCAACTTTGAGTGATTAGAGATTGTACGCCCCCTCGACACTGCACTTCAGGTATCCGAGTTATAGTATTCAGCACTTACTCTTCTGGGCATGCAGAATTGAAGCACTTGAGTACTACCGATCGTCCATCTCCTCTCTCTTGTTCTCATTCTCCTCCTTGTCTTCTTCCCTTCTCCTGCTCTCGTCCATTGTCCATATTCGTCTGAGCCACGTCAGCAGTTGCTGATGTGTGCTGGGCATTTGCGCATGGTGTTCGTGGTGTTGGGAACAGCATGGTGGAGCTCGGACATCAATTACATGCAATTCAGCATGTGGGCTGCAGCTTGCATGGACCTAAGCCCCGGCTTTGGGCCAGCTTGGGCTCGCGGCTCAGGCTTGAAATCTGGTGAGCCTAAGCCCCCCCAGGCCAAGCCTAAGCCGGGGCTTTGAGCCCAAGCCAGGCCGGAACAACACTACTCGGCATGGTCAACATAAAACTTGGTATACACAGATGAGATAGCTCTGTCGTTGCAGTTGTCTTCAAAAAGTGTGCCCCTCAATTGAGCAGCCTTCACATAGCTGATAGGCGAGGATTCCAAAACCCCCTTAGCATGTTCACGAATGAAGTCCAGATTGACATCTTTGATATTAGCAGCTTCATGATATTCATATTTAATATCCAAATATGATGAGGATGATGACATTGACTTACCAGCATATTTTGCCAAAACATTACAAGCAGCAGGATGAGATGAGGCCGGACCAACGATGTTGACAGAGGAGAATAAGGTGTGGAACTTGAGAGTTTGCAGTAGCTGAGTCGCAATGTAATGTTGACGGACTGCTTTATCGACAACAAGCTGGGTCACCCAGCCAACTTGGATGAAATCAGAAGGTGAGCTTCGGCAAGAAATTGTGAGAAAGCTACCTTTATGTAATTGTGAGAAAGCTACCTTTATGTCGAGTGGATCAACCTGGATGTAGTAGGTTACCAGAAGAGTATTCTCTGGGTGAGATAAACATTGAGTTCGTAGTTTTGCAGCAGTCATCTTGACTCTTTTCCCTGTGTAAAAGACTCAGCAATGGCCAAGAATCTGTGTCTTGATGACCAACCAGCCAAAGTATACTTTGAAATTGTACTTGCTTGATCATCCCAAATACCGTAGTCGGAGCTGAAGAGATCAGCACATGATTTCAGTGTATCTTCTGAGACCTTGCTGCCCACTGTTATCACAAAAGAACAGGAAGCTTTGGAGGCAGAAGTGGGGGGTAGGTATGGTCCCATCGCAGATTGAGAACAATATCAACCATCGGAAGTTGAAAGTATGTTGTTCTTATGTTGTTCGCCACTCTGGCCAGCCAGGGAGACCATTTTATGTGGTATGACTCGGAACTGAGTCCGTCGTTACATAACAACATGCAGGCAGCCAACAGTCCACATCTTTTGCAGACAGTACCTGAGTGCTGCAAAATATGTCACCCTTTTCATATGCATTCGCACTGAATATTTATAAATAATTATGATGTGCTTCAGCCCGTACGTTCACGAATCACGGTGTATGAGGCAAGTGCAGTTCATGTTAGTGGTGATGTAAACTAAGAGCGTGCTATTAATTATTGTACGTGTGTGCTATAAGTAATTGTGAAATAAACGAGGGGAAAGTAATAGTAAGACTTGCTTTTTACGTCGTAATCTCCAACAGTTAGCAGCATGCGAACTACCGTCGGGTTTCCTGCAAAAATGCTTCTTTACCACCGAATTTCATTTTCTCCATGTGACGGCATGAGATGCTCCAGAATTTGGGCAGAATCGGTGTGTGGACATGGACATGAAAACATACATACGTTTTTGCAATCCATGACATTCGGATTCATAAGCTATCGTCGGTTCCCTAGCATCACGATCGTGCTGAAGACGGAACATCGCAATTGAAGTGCCAGGTGCATACAGCTGCAGTCCGACACCCTGACTTTGGCGGGCATAGTTATGCCGACGAAGTGCCCTGGGAGTACTGGATCGACGAGTCCCCATCGCTCCAGTAATCAGATCACTGCCAATCTGAGGATCATTTTGTCATCGTCGAAGGCGCAATCTGAATGCATTCATAGATGCCCTTGACTGAGAGTCCAGGTAATCTTCGTAGAACCCTACGACGAACTCCTCGGCCTTGAACCCAAATCTGTTGTATAGCAACTAGACAAATTTTAGAAATGTATGCCAACACCAATCACTAGTAAAAGCGCACCATCGCTGGATTATTAGCAGCTACGTGAAGTGTGATATCACTGTACGGATTGAGCATAATTAGGTGATATAGCATAGTACTGCAGAGATAAAGATCGTGAGCTATTATTATAATCCTCGAGAAATTCCAACATACGTTGCTATCTGACAATTATGCCAGCCTGCTCTGACGGCTAGATATGTGATGTATGTTTCCTGGGGCGAGCTCAAAAGAGCTACGCCGATGACAACTTTGCCATACATGGCAATCACCGAGCAACGCTCAGGGGAAGACTGAAGCAAGTCGCTGACTGTGAATTACATGAGAGCAACTCATGAACATGAAGGGATATAACAGACCATCAATTCCATCCCAAAATACTCTAGCTAATAACTCATGTACCTGCGGGAGGTGTGACGGCTGCAGAGAGACGTAACGGATTGGAAGCGGATCTTCAAATGATTGAGATGATGCAGGGCTAATGATGAGATGAGAAGCGCAGTCATCCGAGTGAACAAGACCTACTGCGCGTATGAGTAGTGTTCTCGCACATCTGTCATCAGTTCCATCCAAGGAGATCTGGTTTCCCAATCTACTGCAACTAACCCTGAGTCTGTAGATAGTCTACGCCCACATAGGCGTGATAAGAAAGATGTTTCGTAAGGTGTCGTTCGGATAGATTTTAGTAAGTTAAGAATGCCTGATTGTGGCAGCTGAGGCGGTAATTGAGGGGGTAAGGAGGTCAAGGAATTGTGATCGACGAAGTCTAGCCCTTGAATACCTGACCGACACCTTTCCTGCCACACAAATTAAATTCTAGCCTCTGATTGACGTCTAAACCATGACTGCTTACCCGACGGAGTCGCAACTTTCTCAATATAGTTCCCTGTGCCGATGAAGGAAGAGCTGCCGCACCACACGCGGACGCATACTTTATTGCAGCCGACACCTCGTACCGAGACAAGGGTCGAAGAAGAGTGCCCTGCCTCCAGTTAGCTTCATTTTCCGTGTCAAAATAATACCCATACAAAGCTGTCCGTCCTGCAATCGCTGTCTTGTACCTGGCAGCGTACTTCCAAGCACTCTGGCAGCACAGGGCCCATAAGACGTTCAAAATCACTTGCTTCCTCCGGACCGTCACGGTTTGCTGGGTTATCAGACGTACAGCTCTCTATTCCAGTTTGAAACAAATTTTGCAAGTCATCGAGTGACATGGATGCCCTTGTAACACGCATGTTAGGAGAGGGGACTATGATCCTTCCTGAGTTGCCTTTTTGCCGTTTCGCTTGGGAGACGCCCTGCAAGTCGCGTCATAGGTGATTCATTCACTAGTGTGTGTCGTCTTACGAGCTCACCTCTGTATACGCCTCGTCCTCATACCTGGAAGACGCCTGGCGAAAAGGTGGCATGGCGAATATAAAATAGTAGTATACGAGACATGCATACACTTTTGTCAAATTGTAGGGTAGATTTGCAGAGAAAAATTTTTGTCACTGATTGTTTATTTGCTACTCGGCCTAAATCTGAACATTTTCAACTCTCCTGGGGAACGAAGGTCGAGCACTACATAGTGAAGTCACTGAAGTGGCAACAGTAAAGCCACGGCAGTCAAAAGTTCAAATGACCGTATCACGCCGACGTCCCTGACTCCCCATCGAAGTTCAACAAACAGATATTTGCCTAAGTGAGGGAAGTGAAAACCAAAAGCGTTTTTCGTGAAATACAAGAGTATATGATATAAATCCAATAAGGTCCGTGCCAGATGTGAGAAGACGAAGGAGTGAAAATCAGTGGGTTCGATGATAATACTGATAGCGTGGAACACGTATGAAAGTAGCCAAAAAAATCAATCACAGTCTCGTAACGGCCTTTGAATCAAGTGGCATGCCTGTAAGACACAATGATGAATTCCCAAAAATTGCAAGGTTATATTGATGCTGACCTGACGGATCGATCCCATTGCGAGCAAGGATTTGGTTGTGGCGGATCAATCTTGCTTGGTCGAAACTGTGTGATTGAAGTTCTGATAAGCTACACCAGCCATGTAAACGAAACACTTACTTGACCCGTTGGGCACGCATGATGTCCAGCACCTCCTGCGTTCCCTGTTCGTCCAGTCCCGCTCGCGAATCTCCCTCGGCGATGTTGGCTGACTCGATATCGAACATCGGAGAGCTCAGCCCTGCACGTGCCTGATCAGAGAAAGAGGCAAGCGGCGTGTAGTGGTTAAGGCTTGGGAAGAAAGCCTTAACTCTCGTAGGAAGAGTTGCACGGTAGCGGTAGCCGACTGGGAGGAGCAAGTCAGTTTATGACCCATCGTCTGTTGCGAGTACTCACCCATCACCAGTGATGCCAGGACTGCGAGAAGTGAGAGGTAGAATAACATGCCAATTTATAGTGCTCCGCTTCGTAGGCCCGAGTTTGTTTGACAATAATAATGGCTTGTGAGAAGGTCGCTTGCTGTCGTCTTCGATAGAGACCTTGAGCTTGATGAACAAGCGCAGTACTACTAACGTTGCCACGTGCCGTAACCATGTGGCTGTGTGAACAATTAGGGGGCAGCCGTAAGCTTCCACTGGTCATTCCGGTACGTATACCCTTGATTGCAAGTAGACATGAATGTGATCCAGTACATTGCCCGCTAACACTTGCTCCAATTATGGTGAATTTCGGATGCTTCTGGTGCCCAAAACTTTTTCACAGGTGACGCAACGAATACCCCCATCACGTCCATAAAGTTCGACAGCATCACGTCTCTTCAAAATTTTCGTAAATATCGAGTAGGATCTTTGGCTCCGATTTGCCAAGGGCCCAGGCCCATCTGGGCACTTTATGTCATTGGAGAACGATACTTCATACTTGGTGTGCACCGTCCCCTTCCTCATGAAACTTTGTCTTCTGTTTCATGTCTCACGACCGATCATCATCCAGTCCTATTCCACATGTTGAACTCAATAACGGACAGTACTAACTCGTGCTGGAAGATGACCATTACGGTCTTCCACATTGCAATGATTCCATTGAAACTAGTAAGTGGCAGGAGCAAAGACGTAAGTATCTCGAATTTTGTTTTCTCAAGCTATATGCGAAACAAGAGCTCACCTTCACCCATTACTCAATGACGGAACTCCCCACGCATGTGAATAAGACATAATGCGATAGATACTCCACGAGACAGGCCATAAACCTCTAAGGATACAATGGGAATCAAGATCACAATCAGGTCAGTAGAAGTATTAATACACACATACAAGAACAGAGAAAAGAAAGGGAAGGAAGGTATAGATGAAACACGGATATACGACATACATGAATGTAAGATACAAATCCAAGAAAAATCGCATAAATAGTACCCATCGACCTGCGTACAAATAAAAATCAAGGCACACGCCATCGTTCCCGTCCCTGAACGACCAACCCTCCGTCCCACATTCTTACATCCCACCCCTTGTTCACCAGCGCACGGTGTACTGCGGGCTTCAACACGCCCACGCCCCCTACAGAGTGGGTACCGCGACCAGTAATAAGGCGAAGGGGGTATGCTATAGGACGGCGGTCGGGTCAATAGACACAGACACACAGCTCCATTCAGCAAAACGCCCGGTAACTAACGAGCAAAGCGTGACAACGCACTCACCAGGTGAACATCCCTCCTCCTCCAATATCTCAGTGGTGATCGTTATCGCCTCTTGAACACACGTCCCGTGTAGGTCGATGGATCTTTTGTCGTCAGAAGCGTATCTACAGGATACGTTAGTATGAATTTTGAGAGTATTAGGAAGAAATTCGAGATATGTGCATGTGGTAGAAGATAGAAAACCCACCTCTTCGCCTCAACTAACCCCCTTGCCTCATCCAACGCGTCCTTCCGCGCCTTCTCCGCAACTTCCCTCGCTCTCTGCGCATAGTACAACGCCACCTCCCCGCCCAATGGCCCCCGCCATGCTCGGCCCGCCTCGCGCAGCAGCTCGTCGCGCTGTATGCGCGCCTGAAGTATTCCACGCGCAAAGTGCGGATGCCGCGCCCCAGAGACGTTCCCTCCTGTCCCGCCTCCAGAGAGTTCTCTGATATCCCTCTTGTTGCCCTTGCTGAGTATATTGCCTGCGCCACGGAGTTTACGCTTGTTCGTAGGGTTGGAATTCTCCAGGGGCTGTGTGGTTCTGGGGGATCGAATCGGCACATCTTGCCATGACTCAGGGAGTTGAGGCTGTGTGTTAGGACTAGAAGGAGAGGATGCAGATTTCCGCTTCGATGATGGTGGAGGCTGTACAGGCGGGGGACCGGTTGGCAACTTTGCGCGTGCAGAGGTGGAATCTGAATTTGAGCCTGAAACTGGAGGTGGGAGGTGGTATATTCCTGCTTGGCATGCGGGATGCTCAAGATCACGCAGGATCCAAACAATATCTAGAGCATCATCCGGCCTGTTCTGTGCGGCAGAGAGTGCAACACGGGCGTCTGCGCACAGAGTTTCACGTTGTTCCGCATCAAAAGTGGCGAAAGTGGGCGAGGCTTGAAGGAGGTCGAGAAGGGCGTATAGTGTGTTATTTTCTGCGTCTTGATTAGATTTCTTGATAGGGGATTTTTTATCGGGTTTGTGTTTGATGTTGGTAGAAGTCGAAGGTAGGGCTACAAGAGCAGCGCGAAGGGCTTGCGCAGTTGTGGCGTGTGTCGGGGAGTGGAAAAAGGAGGCAAAATGTGACGGTGGGGTTGGAGGAAGTAGTGCGGCGAGGTGAGTAGAAAGTGAGGAGACTTGCATCCATATGTCCACACCCGTGCCCATAGTCAGCCCCTCCTTTTGCACCCCTTTCGTCTGGGGTGGAGAAGAGGGGGTGTGCTGCGTCTGCATCATATCCACAATTTTAATCGTACGGCCCTTGGCCTTCTTTTTTGTGGAAATGGCGAGCTTGGGTGTCGATTTCGGTTTCGTATGTGAAACGGTTTCCCAATCCCCATTGAGCAGTGGTGAGGGAGTGTCTTCAAGGGCATCAATTCCACGTTCCTCAAGGTCGCGGATATGTTCCATGTTCAAGATATACTCCACCACTCTTTCCATGTCAACATCTCCGTTCAGGGCTTCTCTACATTCTTCTTTCAGCAGGCGTTTGAGGCGTTCCTTGGGCACATCCGAGAAAGCCTCTGTCAAGAAGCCAAGTGGTGAGCTGAATGAGTGCTGAGATGACGATGATTCGCTTGCGGTTGTTGTACTGTCGCACAGGTCTGGAGTTGTGAGAGACGTAGTGGACATGATATCGTCTAGCTCCCACTCATCCTTCTGTGCCTGGTTTGAAAGAACCTCTAATGTATCTCGTATAGTCTTGACCTGGTCAGAGGAACAGGTGGTGTGGTCCCCTTCTCGCGCATGGTCTCCGACGATGGCTGCAAGAAGGGAGGTATCGATTTGAGGAAATTCAGCCTTTGTGGCCGAGTCATGATAGAAGATTCAGCATTGCAAATTAAGTGGCAAAATGGGGAAACGTACCTGTAAAGTATCATATAGGTCCATGGTAGTAGTCGTCTATAGTGTGGCAACACAAGGAGTTCAGGCGAAATGGATCGCATATACAGTGATGGTGTTGAATATAAGTGGATATCTGACATGCGGAAGGGGCGTGTTGCAATCCTATATAGAGCCTATCACAAGGCTATGTCAAGCGCTATTAAATGGTAATCAAATTCATCATCATGCAGGGGTCGATCGAACGACTGACTAAGAACCATGACGTCACGTGACACCGAGCGAGTTCAGTCTTCATGGTCCTTGACTCCTTGGGACTATAACCCGCTCACCGTTGTTCTCTAGCTTTGCTGTAGTCAGTCGGCGCTTCAGCAGTGAAAAACCAGAACACACAATTATGTCGTTGGTACTGAGCGTTGGTATTCGTATTGACTATGTCTTGCCTTCGTCGGTCTCAGCCAGATGGAGTCAAGAGCGTCAGTAAACTTGATGTCGCTAGTCTAGAGGTCAATGGCAGAACGTGGTATGTTAATCTCGCTGCACTATTGATAATTGCATTCATCACATTTGCTCCGCCTTTCGAGTTTACTACCCTTCCCGTGCGATGCATTGCGCGAGCATCGGCCGCGGCGAGTGTGTCTGGGGTATTCTCATTATTACGTTTAAAGCGGCATCTTGCTCATTCGTTTCATCGTTATGTAAATGTCCATTCGAATCAGAGGACAATGGTGAGCTAGAACTTCGAAGACAGCCGTGCTCAGAAGGAATTTGAGATCTTCCATTCCATCTCATATCCATCGTGCCGTGTGCAAAAAACACCGCTCGCAGAGGAGCGCTGAAGACCAAAGGTTGAACATCTTACCCCATGGGGCCTAACTGACTCAAAGTGGTAAGTGTCCGTGGGGCAAGAGCATTCTCGTCATTAGAGTTTTTACTATTTAATTGTTATCAGCATCAGGTCCCTCCGCTGTCTATTTGTTTCCTTGTTATGTAAACGACTCTCCAATCATTTGTCCATTCAAATCACAAGACACCTTACTCGGAAGGGTACGTCTTCCACTCCACCTCATTGACACAATTTACGACACTTGCATTCCACCTTGGGCGAACAACTCTGCAGATGAATAGAGGTTCAGATTCATCGGTAATATATCTTGATTAGTGTTTGGCTTGGCAAAGCACTCGAAGTATATAAGGGCTTGTCCGTCTCTCTAAGTCATTCGTCTCCAGCTCTCACATTCACGGCAGATAACATGTACTCCGATACATACAAGTTGGAAAATGTTGCGCGCCCAGGGCAATATGTCTCTCTCGTCAACGGTAATATCGTTGGACATTCTGAAGGACCTGGAATCATGATTGAGGTATGATCGGTTTCGTAGACTGACTCATAGTTTCCTCGAGACTTGCTCTAAATAGATTCCTGCAGTGGTTTGCAATGTATCATGAGGGTGGACTGGCAACATTCCAAGCGGTTCGTAACGGAGAAGTATGCGATGAATACATTTATTTCGACCCCGATGTAAGTTACCCTCTGTCACCTCAACGAATTGTGAGCTAATTTGAAGTTGCTGTCTATTCCAGACTCAGTCTTTGACTTGCTCTAAGAATCCGTGGCTTTTTTTGGTCAGACAAAGTCCCAGATCACCTAAGTTTTTTTCGTGAGTCTATAATCGCGAGTAGAACTATTATGTCTCTCAAAGGGCTTACTTTCAGTATCGAGATCGAATGCACGGACGACTGGGCCTGGACACTCGCGTCATGGGACGAAAATTCACGTGTATGGACCGTCTATCACTATCTTTCGTGATGGAATATCTTCTGATATCATATCGCAGATCGAGACCGAGAGTAATACCGGCTCCACTCAGCAGTTATGGATGTTTAAGAAAAAAAACTGATGAGTAGCTCCATATAGCACATTTGGTCAGAATTGCGTAGGTTAAACGGGGTCGACAAAATCAATAAATCCTTTGTTGTGTAATACTTGCCAGTACTATTATAGCCTAGAAGCTTTTTCACGATGGTAGCGCATGTACTTTTTCCCCATTTAATGCATGCATTGTAGGCTAGCCTAATGTTGACAGTACATATTGTATTATATGGCGTTATCATTATGTACTAGTCTAATGATCATCCTTCAATTTCATCGAGTGTCTCATACGGCGAAGCCGCATTTGAATGACTGGTCCATGTTCAGGCGAACAGTGAAATAAATCACCTTATTCATCTGCAACGTGTCATCGGAGGTGTTTTTTTTATTCACCTTCGAGAACTTTATCTGACTCGTGATGCCTGCATGAAAGGGAGGGATGTCGGCGGGTGATGGCAAATGTGATAGGTTCAGTAGGAATGCATGAGTCACGAAAAGTTGTGACATGATTTAGTAGTATTAACTCGTGGCAGTCACGATATACTGGCATATAATTACATGCAGAGTTGGTGAGAGTGCGAAGCAAGTAATGTACAAGCTATCCTGAGTCCGACGAAGTCCATTAGGCCACGTGAACGCACAGTGCAACAGTAAAAATACGAGGAAAACAAACAGCATTTTGACAGCGCCTTAGTAAAGAGAACTTGCAAGGGTGAATGAGTCGACTTCAAATACATGAGTCACACGCTCTCACCTTTAAGACCAATCCTCGTCCCTCCACGGACCAGTAATGAGTAATGGATCGTCCGACACAATCTCATCATGTGCAACTTTCATCTTTCCTCTCCTGCCTTTGAGCCTCTGCACCAAACCAACGGAGTCGAGCTCCTGAGTACCACAAGGGTTCACATCCTCATGCACCTTGAAAATGTCCATGTCATCTTCCGATCTACTGTGGGCATCACGTCGAGTTAGCTGCATCAAGGGCTGTTTCCTCGTGGCTCCCTTCACGTGTGGCCGTATCGCGAGTTTCGAGTTAGGGCCGACGACTGTACCAGAGCGCGTGCGACCAGGAAGAGAACCAGCAGGCCCGGCGATAGTCGAAGCGAGGGAGGTCAGCGTGGAGCCATTAGAACCAATGGGAGCGGTCTGTGTGAAGTCAGATGCACGGATGGTGCCGGCGCGGTTCCTCTTGTGCTTGACGGTGCTTGTTTTCTCGGACCCGATACCGGCGGGGCTTTCGAGGGAACGGGTACGCATTGGGAGCTGGGTGCCATCATCGCGCCTATCTGTGAAGGAGTTTAGTATCGGGCAAACGCACATCTTGAAGATCGGAGCCTAGGAGGGGGTCATCTGCGCAAGAGCAACGAAAGCAATAAAATGCGAGAGGCCCAAAAGATGAAGAAAATTATGTCGACCACATGATGGTGGGGAAGGGATGTATAGCCACCGAAAGCGTGAACATACCACCCAAATCAAGCGATAGCATATCTTGGATCAGGTCTGCTTCGCTTGGCGCGCCTATGCCTGAAGTAACCGCACCACGGGGAGGCGGATTAGCTGATGCGTTTCTCGCGACGGAACCTGAACAGTCGGGAGCAGGCGAGCTTGATCCAGATAGAAATGTGAGATGTTGCTGGCAAATCGCAGTTCGTATTGCAACAACTTCGGGCGCCGGCGGGCTCGAGCCAGAAAGCACTAAGATATTCCGACCCAGTGAGACCTTGTGCTGTGGTACGAAATTAGCTAAGTCCGAATCCGGGGGGCTAGAAGCCAGAGGAATCATGTGTTCGCCCATTGAGGTTTTCTGAGGAAGTACGTCAATAGACATAGACATAGGTGCACTGCCAGCACTATCGATGTGATCATCAATGTCGGATACATTGCGAATTTGATAAGCCCCGAGTGAGAACGAGCCAGAGGAAGAGATGATGCTATTGCCTGAGATGTGGATCTTGCGGTGCTTGGTGTAATCTGCCATTTCAAAGTCCTCGTCGCGCGGAAGGCGCGGGGAAGGGGCAAGAAGGGCCAGGTTTGAAGGAGATTTCGGTGCTCGGAGGCCTGTCCTGCTGCCAGAGCGGCTATGCAGTGGGGTGGAGAAAAACTGGGGGCGATCGGCAAGAAAAGGCGATGCAGACAAACTTTGAATCGGATTGGGTCGAATAATCGAATTGGGATCTGGATCACAGATATCTGCATGCATTGTAAGTGTTTTGGATGGAGAGATCCAGTCCTGCTGTGAGATATGAGATAGCATATACGAGGGATCTGGGCTTGAGGGGCGACGTTGATGCTTCGAACTGGCTAGTTCATTGAGAGAAAGCGTAGAGTTCTTGCGAGAGAGTCTGGTATAATTGAGAGATATCGTAGAGTCTTTACGGGAAAGCTTCCTGTCATTCAGGGATGTGGTGGAGTCTTTGTGCGAGATTTTGCGGCGAGTATATGCACTATCATTTTTCTGGAAGGCACCAGAAAGAGTACGGGATTTCAAATGCAGGGGAATACGAGATGATCGCGCCTTCGCTTTGGTTGTGAGGCCAGTGTGAGGGGAGGAGGGACGGCTGTGGAAAGGTGAGGCAAGGGAAAGGGACGGGCTATTCTCCTTCAGATTTCGCGAGCTTGTGCGTGAAAGAATACGATTGACATTTGGTACGGGAGAGAACTCTTCTGGTACCAGCGGACGCGTAACTGAAGATGAATGAACGTACTCCGCAGAAGGAAATGGCGTTTGGAACACGTCGACACCAGCTTCTGCTTCTGGAATATCTGACGCGACAGTTTTCTTGGCACGTTTCACGACATGACCCTTTAGCCGCACTGTATCGTCATCTTCGTTAGCTACACCCCGAGAGCGCTTGAGCATTCGCCTAGACATCTCTGAACGTGTGATATCGTCACGATCAGGCGGAAGGGCCTCGAGTGGAGAAGACATAAGCTTCGCAGCAGCATTTGCACGTCCCCGTTTGTGTGCATAGGTTACCTTGACTGGCTTTCGAGCCATTGTGTCAGTCTTTGCGCAGTTAGACTGCGCGATCACACCAATATTGTAGTACACTTGCTTATGTAACGAAGCTATTGCTACACAAGACCAAATACTACTTACTGCCAGTATTATTAAATTGCATAATAATGCATTGCAAATCACCGAAAGCATAGGCTGTACTAATAATGGGCTGTAGCTCAGGACTGTCGTGGGCAGAAGGAGTTTCGCCAGCGAAACCTAGCAAAATAAATAGTCGTTTGAACGTTGAACTTATGCCTGGCACTGCACAAAATCGGCAAAGGATTACATAACGAAGCCTTTGCCATACACGAGCAAATAACAGCTTGGGTGGCTCCAAAAGCAAACCACAATCAACAATACTTCACAATCACAAGCATTATAGGTCTGCCACGCCAGCCGTACGCTTATCTGCTGCAAAAATCTATGCTTTCTTTCTAAGCTCAATTTTATATTTTCCACAATAATATTGCATAGGCATAGTCACTTGGCATAGTACAGTCTACAATGGTTGTCACTCGCAGAACTCCAGTAGTGCCAGCACCTCCAGTTTCCCGTACACCATCTTCACAAGGTCAACCACGCTCAGTAAGAGCATCTGTAATACAGGACCCATCTGTGGTACCTCATGTGTCAAGCCCACTGGCATCCGGAGACGCGCGCACCCCAGTTATCATCACCGGAGCCTCAAATAACCTCAAAGAACATAATGACAAGGTGAGTAGTCACAATGATTTCCTAGATATACCAATAGGAATATATGCGGACCTTTCGTGTCTTTTGCTTGGGACTGTGTTGCTTTTGGCCTGTCGTTTGCCCAGTCTATTGTAAGGGGCTAACGCGACGATACAGGATGAACACAAAAAATTAAAGAAGAAAGACAAACCAAAGAAATCAGGCAAAGTGCGTTCCCTTTTTCTCTCGCTCTGATATATCTCGACTCACCGACAGAAGAAGAAACGCAAATCCACTATCCAGTACTTTTTGGACTTCCTCACTAAGCTCCTCGTGCTCACTGTCACGGTCTACGTCTTTTCTGTCTGCCCTCGCGAGGCACATCTCCAATCCCCCGTTTGCCGCGGCCTATCTGAGTACAAACGTGTTGTTCTCGACCCGTACGTTATCCCACCAGTACAAGCTGCGCTTGCGCACCCCTCTATCGCGCCATATGTGAACCGCGTTACGGAGATTTCCAGCCCCATTATCTTTCGTATGCAAACAGGGTGGACCGGACGTATTGTTCCTCAGTGGGAGAAGCGCGTTGTTCCATTTTGGATTAATCGCGTGGTCCCTACCTTCTCGACCTACGTTCTCCCCCAGTGGGAAAAGCGTGTTGTCACACAATGGCAGAAATATGTTGTCCCTCAGTACGACAAGCACATCGCGCCGCAATTGAGCAAACTCGAACCTTACGTTGCGCGTACAGAGTTGTATGTTGAGCAAGTGGAAACGACGTATACGATGCACGTAGCTCCGCACGTGCGTACTGCTATTCATAACCTGCAGCGATGGCAGCAAAAAGCACAACCTTATATAATCCTTGCCATCCACAAAACTCAGGATACTTATTACGCAGCAAAGCCCCACGCGGTGCCTTTGGCAAAGAGACTCGGTGTTGAGGTGCAACATGCGCTTTTGTTCTTAAGGGAACAGAGACGGATCTTTGTCGACCCCCATGTGGCCAAATTGTGGGATAAAGTCAAGGAGTTGAGCCGCGGCTCACCAACAACTGCAGCGTCTCCTTTTGCTCCTTCCGACGCAACAGACTTCCCAACCCCAGAACATGCTATTTCTGAGACATTGGAGCTGGAGTCAATTTACAAGTCGAACATACCCACATCCGCAGATCAACCTCCTGTGGAAACAGATACACCGTGCGACAAAGTGACGGAGACAGACGTTGGAGCACTTTCAAACGAAGATGCAATGACGGCCGCAGAAACCGAGATACCCGCCGCATTCGACGACGTACCGATTGCACACATCACCTCACAACAGGCATCTGCGTCCTCTTCTCACTCTCCCTCGAGCTCTGTGCCAACACCAGTGCAACCTTCCCAGAGTGTGTCGTCCCTCTTATCAGAGAGTGCACCAGTCACTTCGTCGACCGTATCTGTTGTTGTCGATGGTGTAAGTTCATCTATCACTTCCGAAGCCCCCACTGGCTCTGCCGCCTCTAGCTCGGTCCTTACACATATCAGTGACGACGATGAGATCGACATTATCGCATTTTACGCCGAACTTGGGCTCGATGAACCGTTAGCCACATCCCAATCTCACGAGCAAATTCCCCTCAATCCTCCAGAGTCAGAGGAAGAGCGCGCTGAACGGTTACGCCTGAAAGCTGAAGAGACTGCCCGTAAACGTGCTGACATTGAGGCCCGCCACTTCAAGTGGGAGACCGAACTTCGGTCTCAAGTGGAGACTAGCTCGTCTACGCTCAAGGACAGACTTGGAGCAATCAGGAGCGCTGCTGCTGCCGAGCTTGCAGAGGCGCCTGATATTCGAGATGCCATTGAAAACCTTGTTGCTGACGCAGAGAAGTATATTAAAGGCGCCGAGATCTATCTCAGGAATTTAAGGGCAGAGATTCGGAAGAACGAAGAGAAGATGCCGCTCTGGGAAAGAGTGGTTGAGAAGGTTGGCATGAAGTTTTCAGAGCGTCTTGGGGTTGTAGAGGCCGTGGTCAACACGTGGTACGGTGCTATCCTCGATCAGGAGCTGCACGAGGTTGGTTATCTCTTTCCTTGTTTTCCTTGATGTTTTTCCGCCGGTCTGTCAGTCATTTCCGTTGGTTTCGGACCAATGCCCTTTTAATTTGCATTTTGCGCCCGCCCTTCCGCATTTCCTGTTCCCCGCCCATCTCATGATTTCCCACGACTGAGCCTCTTGTGTTCTTTTGATTTACGTTTTGCCGAAAAAAATCGGTCACTGATTGTACTTTATCTGTTGCACAGGTTTACGCTGTGACTGCCAAAGTTCGCGAAGTTGCGGAAAAAGCCCAAGTCGACCTAGGGCTCGATTATGCTTGGCTAGACGAAGTGACGTATTCGGACTGGCAGCGGTACCATTCCCTGATTGATGGCGAGTCCCCCTATCCATTCTTCCTGTCACATAGCCTGTTAAACTAATTCCTCTTTATTGCCACAGCCAGCGATAAATTCGCTCAGGAAGCACACTTGATACAAAATGGCACGCATGAGAATTTGATCATGGATAACCCGATCATTCCTATCTTTAAGGACCTTGAATCGGAGGTCCAAGATGTCGTGATTGGATTTGAAACGCGCTTGAGGCGCATAAAACGCGACGGCGAGCGTGCATTCAATAGTGTCCAAAAGGACGAGGAGAAAATAGCTACTGGTGCGGAGCGTGATGTTGGGCCAGGGGTCTCGATTCTTCCGATACCGGAGGAAGGTGCAGGCGAGCGCGCGTATGTTCCCCCAGTTATCATTGGACGGAGCAAAGAGGAAGTGCTGGAGGCACTTGGGAAGGTTGAGCCTCTAGAGAAAAGTTCGGGGGACAATGCTCGTGAACACACGGACGCAGGAGAAATTGTGTCGAGTCTGATTCGCGAGGCAGAGGAGGAGCATTCGGAGAGCACTGCTATTCCTCACACAGAGCTATGAATTATGAACTGTGTCATGTCTGGATTATTTATGACATCTACTATGTTTACAACCTTGCATTCCTCCTTATTTCTTTCTACTAGTACTCATGCATATGGCATATGAATCACAATCGTCCTAGCTGTGGTGTACAGCCGCATCAATTCTGAAAGGAGGTCGTTTGCCGTTCTGTTATGGTTTTGGGCGTTCACGGCTGTTCAATTAATGTTCACTGGCACTAATTACGCCGCTTTGCTTGAAATAATTGACGCCGGAATTTCTTTGATGCCTCAGACCCTACGAGTCAACCGTAAATAGCTAATGGCCGCTCAAGCGATCAGGTTCGTTCCTCGTCTGCGTGGCCACTGCATATCCTCCCACGTGTACTTTCTTCACAAGTCGTAGTTCAGGAATTTCAGGGAGGCTCTGAGGGTGATTTATTGTGCCACGTCAGGTCAGTACTGGCCCTGTTTACTTCTTGAGCCCGCATGGCTAGAGCTTCGAGTAGATATCACACGCAAGGGACTAGTTGTGACACAACGGGCCCGCTAACCCTGCCGCTATTAGTGCGAGTGGTCGCATCCAGACTTCGGGGTGAATTGAACTTTGCACTTAGTACACCCACGCTCAGTGACGGTTTTCGGAATGACGTGAATACTGTTAGTCGTGCGCATGCCGCGAAGGATGACTAGGACTCTCGTTACACTGACAGGTGAGTATTATTAATTATACCGACCCCATCTACTCAAAATATCAATGCTTCCGGAAACGCGTGAGCAATGCTGTGCGGTACCACACAGTCATTTGAAAGTGATTGCAGGGGTTCGGATGAAATACACGGGCCCTACATTGACATGATGGTTGGATCCTTAGTGACCTGGAAAAGCATAACGTATATCCCATTAATTTTGGCCATGTGAACCTGAAGCAAGACACGATTAACAAGCTCAATCATGTTTGGTATGTATGAAATGAGATAAAGCAATGAACAAAACAAAAAACGGAATCCTGAATTGAATGCCGCTGTGTCGTACGGCGTTAATTCGCATCTTCGCCGTCAATTCTCCATCGCAGATTGGACTCATAAAACTTGATAAGCTTGGCAGATCGTGTTAGTAATATGTCGTCCAAGAAGCCACGTTTTTACAGCATACCTTCTGAGGGAACTTTTGGGCACAAAGTCGAGAAACTTCCCGCATTCGGATATCGCTGTGCTTTCTGTAAATATGTTTAGCATTTAGAAATCTAAGATAGGAAAAGTCGACGGACATTTTGAAGTACACATAGAGGTCACCCTCGTCTCCGCGTTCGATCGTGTCAATAGTCTCGACAAGGTTCTCCCAACTAGCAATAGTCATGTGTTTCTTCATGCTACCGAAAGTGACCACCTCTTCGTCTTCAGCCAGCTGTTTCGTGGCCTTCTTCGCAGAAGCCCCCTGGCTCTTACGTGGTTTTTTCTTTGCTCTAGCTTCGTCGTCATCAGTGCTGGGTTCCTGCTCTTTCTCCGACCGTTCCTCCTGGTCTGCTTTCTTCGGCCTACTACGTTTCTTTGCGGGAGGCGTGGACCCTCGAGTATCCTCTACAACGGTGGATTTACGGCCGGTCTTGGGTTTGCCAGTATCTGTGGACTTGCGGGGACCACCCCTACTGACTTTGCGCTTGTTTTCCCAATACTTAGTGATGAGGTCCTGCGCATTGCTAGAATAAAGTTCGAATTTGTTTCAGTCAACTTATGCAAGAAGAACTTAAATACGCTGCATCATCCTCATGCACCCAGCTGTTATCCTCTGAGGGATAACCTTTCCACTTCACAAAATAGCCAAATTTACCCTAAGGCGCGTCAATATTCCACTTGTTAAAACACGACAGTGAACATACATCACCAAAATAACCTTTTTGGGACTCCATGACTTCCTCAATCTCATACTCTTCATCCTCATCGCCCTCTTCTCCAGGAGCCTCCTCGTTCTCTGACGCGAGTTCGGGCTCTGAAGAGGATACGCGATTCTTCTTGGATGAATACTCTTTCTTCTGGTTTGTGCGTGGTCTGTCGGCATCCGAGTCAGAGTCAATCGCATCCGTCACTCGAGGCATATCAGACTATTCGTGTGGAGTAGTAATTGAAGCAAGTTCGATTCGAGACAGTTCAATTGTGCACAAGAAACTTGGTGGCGCGGACGTTATGTAATTGGTTGGAACAAAGGTAAACAAGTGTTGGCGAGCACTCGGCAAATCCCGGCCGTCCACCAACTTGGTGCTGATTGCAAGTCACATTAGGGTATAACCTGGCTGTATCGTGTTACAGACAGGTATAAGTAACCAAACCGCGCCGTGCATTGATAGTCACGCATGGATTGAAACGTGCTTCGAGTGGCAATAGCTTCACGTTACACACTGCCCAACTGCGGTCATACCTGCCCACCACATGTTATATATATATAATGATATGCAGGTACGACAAAGTCTCGCCGGAGATCTTTTACATGCGCGCCGTCATGTCGTATCGGTGAATAGATGTAATTGCGGGAGAACAGGATTGAGCAAGTTACAGTAAACAAAGCTGAATACAGTCAGACATCGGAGAGCCAAGGGAAAAAACGAAGAATAACCTCAGTCTCTCTGTCTGCGTGACGGACTAGCACTCCGACCGCGTCCTTCCCGGCCTCCTCTGCCTTTTTTCGGGCCCGATGGAGGGGGCCGAACGAACGCGTAGTCGCATTGCACGACTTGTTCTAGTAATGGCGTTCCCGACGCGCCATCAATAGCAGCCTGAGCCTCACCCATGGTCTCATATTCCACGAGTGCATAGCCCTGTAATTGAATAAACGTTGTATTCACTTATTCCTGCGATGCGATGAACGGACCTTGACATAACCCGTGCGCCGGTCCAAGTTTAAATGGAGATTTTTTATCTCTCCAAACTCTGCAAACTTGTCCGTGACATCTTCCTCTGTTGCCTCCTCGTGTACATTGGTGACCAAGACAATCCAACCTTCAACAGCTGTGCAAAAAGAATGCAAAATATGGTAAAGGATCGATGTGGTGGAATAGGTAAAAATATACTTACATCGCGCAGCTCTCGTATCGTCCTTCACATGAGAGGATTCAACCCTGTCGTAAGTAGGTTCTGTGGTAACTGTGCCATCATTTCCGCCTACCGCAGCTTTAGTGCACTTTGGTGAAACGCGAGTATGAACAGCGATTACCTGCCGAGTTTTGAAACCCCCTGCCTCTTCGCCTCACAGCGCCACCGCCGTTAGCGACTTAATTCAATTAGAAAACAATTTTGACTCATGAAATCGTGAAACAAGTACCTTCGTCGATATTCATTTCGTCGTCGGACATGGTGGTTGTTGGATGCGGTTGGTGTGACGTGTGACCAATGTGACAAGGCAACTGGGGTTTCGATTGATCGACGGCCATGGCGGATACAGATAGTCCCCGTCAAGTGGTTTCGACAATGACTTCGCAGTCACCAGACACTGGCATGTTCGACCTCTGAACACAAGCGCCCGTCACGATGTACTACGAAATATCGATGTACGTCCAAGGTTTGGACTCGCATGTTCAAGTTGAGGTTAGAACCGGATTCTGATTCCAACTCACGTAAGTCAGCAACGAATCAATATTACTGTTGTGGAGGTTATACGATTGGCAGTCTCCCACACAAACATAATCTGCATACTATGCCCGAAGTGCTTCCGAGTATCGGAGGACAAGTTCAATAGAGCATCTTGCGGCGGGGGATTAAATTTCCAGCAAATTACACTTGGATGACATGTAGGCTATGCTCTGCTATGCTTTGTGCCATCATTTTTTTTGTTGTCCATCTTTCGCCTTTAAGCTCTCCCGACGTTTATCCTCCCTTCCAGGGGAATACATGTTAAGCATTTTTTTCGGCATGTGTCTTCCGTATTCAAGTTAACGTTGCCTCACCTCAGACACCCATCTAACGACGTTTTAAAACCCACGATTGGCCACAACGTCACCTTTTAATCCCGATTAGCTCATTCAGCTTCACCGTGGATACAAAGCGAAGGTGTAAAACGTGCGCCACTTGAAAGCTGGCTCGGAAAGCTACAACTGGCAGTGCCTGGAACCGCATCGCCTCACAGATCTCAGATCCTCAAACTCAGATCCCGAACGACTCAACGGTCAATGTTGGCTTGACCTCTCTCACGCGAAACCCTTGTGAAGGTACCTGTCGACCTAAACCTTGAAACCTAAGCGCGCTCCAGCCATATTTAAGCTCAACCGACTCGCCATAAACTCATAACCAACCACTTTTCATCTGACTTTTCTAAGCACATCATCTTAATATCCCAACATCGGTTGCCCAAAATGAACCCCGTTCCTCTCATTAACCACCCTTGCACGGTTTGCTGCAGGCCCACTTCCATGTGGTGCAGCCGCTGCCAATCCGCGTGGTATTGCACTCCCGAACACCTTCAAAGCGTAAGTTTTCAACGACTTGTCGCGTGACGAATACGCGACTTATCAATAACGACATCTAGGATTGGCCGCGCCATCGAAAGGAATGTGTTCCGGCAACCCATGCCCAAAATTATAATATTATTGCCACTCCACCGCCTGCTGAGCAGCAAGTGATTATGGTTTCTGCCATCCTCTTCTCCCCCGAAGAAGGTGAATCTCGACACGCTTTTATCTTATTTACGGCACGCTGATCACATGCAGAGCGCCCCAGAATCATTACGGTCAAGTGCCGTCCATCCCAGGTCCCATCGCAGGGCATGTGCCCTCAACCTCTCGTCAGCGGTCACTTCCAAGATGGTCAAGCGGAAAGCATTGTCTTGACGCAAGGCTTGAATGGAGAGCCACTCAGATTTCCCCTCCATCTGTGGTATTCCCCAACTGCGCTGTCGCGTTGCGCACCCATTAATCGTGCTATCTACCACATTACGTCCGGTGCCGCTGCGAAAGCTTGGTGCGGCACAGTTGTCGTCCTGAAGTTCAACGGATCTCGGCGCCAGGGCTACTCTGATGCAGGGTCGAATGATCTTCCCGCTCTCTCAGCCTATTTTTTGGCCTACAAGTAAACGCATAACGCGTTTTGTTCTTAATGTGCTTAAAAAGTAGAATATAAGCCACATCCCGGGAAGGCACATGCTTTTCTAACCTTTCCATTGCAGCATTATAGCTCGTTGTCGTATATTATCGCACATATATATCGTTTGTTGCTTTGTTCCGATATCTGTAGCTCTCATAGTGTTTTTGTTTTGTTATTTTATTAGAGCTTACTCTTAATTGTATTTTTCTCCATAAAATAGATGGGTGGTTTTTTTGCAATTGGCTGTGCAAGATCGCGCGAGAGGTCGCGTGGAACGATGTCGACTGTAACGTGGGCTGCAAATTCGATGAACCATGACGATCACCGTAGGCAAAGGCACCGGTAACCCGACCTGCACGCAAAGCTGTTGCTACTTGATAAAAAGGACCAAAGCATTGCCAGTTGTAAACGACGGAGAAAGAAGTCAAAGTGCTTGACGATCTGGTAACTATAGACATTCCCACGTGTTGCCGTGCTATGCGACGTATATGTGTAACTATGTAGGCGATCACTAATTTACGTTTCCAGCGATCGACTTGAACTTTGAATTCAAGGACTTGCAGTCTCAATCATATCACTCAAATGCTATCCTTCATATCATTTTCATCACAACCTACTGATTCCACACATCATCGATCAGTACGGCATCATCCAGATGTTGAGGATCTCATGGACGTAGATGACGACGATTTTTCACTCTCTGAACCGAGGTTGACTTGCCCAGGGGAGACTATCACATCATCGCAAGCATTCATGCGGTAAGCAGTTTGCAGAAAGTGATATCTTAATGTCTTAATGGGCGCTTGAAGTGGTCATGGGACATATGTCGACAAAGAGGATGTTATTGCCTCCGTTGTGGGGACTGTAGAGCGGGTGAACAAACTTGTGACCGTTCGTGCGATTCGTACCAGGTGAATGGTTTTCAAAGTTACTGGCGCTATCTAATTTATTCTCGATCAAGATACAATCCAGAGGTGGGAGATCTTGTCGTTGGGCGCATAACAGAGGTGTGTACTTCGTGCTAAGGCTTGAGCGTTCCATTAAGGTTTGAGACATAGGTTCAACCTCGAAGATGGAAAGTAGATGCCAATTCGCGTCAGGATGCCGTCTTAATGCTCTCATCAGTCAATCTTCCCGGAGGGGTACAAGTGAGTTTTCCCTTTGCAATATTGTCTAGTCCTTGTAACCCCATTCATGCTAGCGTCGGAAATTAGAGAGCGATGAGCTCCAAATGCGAAATTTCTTCGAGGAAGGGGATCTTCTTGTTGCCGAAGTACAAGCTTTTTTTTCGGATGGCGCCATGTCATTACACACGCGATCTTTGAAGTACGGCAAGGTGAGCGCCGCATTGTCAATTCCATTCCCTTGGACAACTTTGGCTTTATTCTGAACCCCCTTTGTTACAGCTGCGGAACGGCCAACTAGTGACAGTACCCCCAATATTAGTTCGGCGATTAAAGTCTCATTTTATATCTTTGCCATGCGGCGTCGACCTTATCTTGGGATTGAATGGCTACATATGGGTTAGCAAACAAGCAAAGGACAATGACCAAGGAGAAGAGGGTTTTGATGCTGAAGCAGTATATTCGAACCGAAACGATGTTGGTGGACTGTCATTAGCACGGAGCGCAGTAGATGCTCACTCGATCTTTAGGACATCGACAATGCTACTCGTGCTGCAATCTCGCGCGTCAGTAACATCATTCGTGTCTTCGCGGATCATTTCGTTCCTTTGACAGATACACTTTTACTGGAAGCCTACGAATGGGTTATCGAACAAGAAGGGGATGCCAAACGTTTGTTATTGGGTGATACAGGCGATGCGCTCGTTGCTGCCATGAGTCTCAGTTGTTGAGCAGCGTGTCTCTGTAGTTACATATCATCATCCTCATCTTCTATATTGTCTTCGTCCAAATCATTCTCATCATGCTCTGCACTGTCTTCTTCTTCCTCGTCCTCTTCGTCGATAGTTTGATCACCAACTCCTGTCTGAGGTGGCGGTTGCTGCTGTTGCTGTGGTTGGCTAGTAGCACCATTAGCCATTTTTCTTGCCTCGGCTGCTCTCTTCATCTCTTCTTTCTCTTCGTTGACGGGTAACAATCGATCCAAAGCAAGATCTCTCCAGCGTAAAGAGCCATTTACGCCGCCGCCGCCATAGCCCATGTCCTCAAATAACGCCCGAGAAGTTGGGTCATACGGTGGTCTCGGTCTTGCAGCTGGATGCTTGATATTTGTTGGATTCCCGTAGGGATATGAGGGATGCACCTGAGAAGGCAATACTGTCAAACGGAGATCAGCCAGAGGGGGCCCATCAGAAAGAGTGTCACCGCGAACTGTCAGAATCGTCCGGATTCGGTGGAATCATATGCGCTGGTATATCAAGTTCTATTCAATTTGCACGTTTTCAATCAAGCGCTCAGTTTTTGAAAAGTGGTTTGTCCTACCATCATCTGATAACTCGCCAGAGATATATTCTGGACTGTCAATGGTGTCAAGCACTTTTAGATCATGCTCAGTCATGTGGATGTAACAAAATGTTAGGTCCTACATTCGGCTCAGTTGGTAGAACGCTTCAGTGTTAGAATAACTGACGGTCATCGTGATGGCTGTGAGTTCAAATGTTCACGTGGTTCAGAAGTGTGTAGCCGCGGTAGAAATCGCGGAGTTTGAAGCAATACCACCTTCCGCTTCCGAACACCCCTACTGATGGGCTTATGAGACATCGCACACTAGTACTTCGTACAAGCTCCGTTAAGGGCTGGCTAAATGTGAGCAAGTTCTCGCTTTCTGCCATGAACTCAGTATTAGGTGCCAAAACCTTTGACCACACAAACAGGCTTGATCTACACAGGACTATACACCCACTAGTACTACTATGATGATCACAATGGTCATCATAATTTAGTTGGTTGTCATCGCCCCATGCATTCCCTGATCAACAAGGTTAGCTCTATTAAGCTTTCGCGAACCTTTATATTGATCCCGGCCGATAGATGCCCCTCTTACACTTGAGAACCGTTGGCCTAATTGTCCGCCTTTATGCCAAGCCCGCGCCCATATCATGTATGTGGACTGTCTGTTATATCTGATAGGAGCCGATAGGTCTTGCCAGGGTCCTTCAAAATGAATGACTTACTGCGGGGTTATTTTCTTCGCGGGAGCAATATTTCTTCATCAAGAATAGCGAATAGCGATTATGAAGCAACTTGAAGCTTTGACTTCAGCCTCCCAAAGCTACCCGTGATTTAAGATAAGTACTACGTTACCAAAGTCTTACTGTCACCGCCCTTCGCATGTCAAGTGCACTTCTGTGACGTTTCCGAGAACACCTGCAAGTTTCCGAAGTGTTTTCTCATCCGATGCGATCTGAGGTAACGTATCGTATCCCGTTGAGCAGGTGAAAGGAGCGTTCAAATAGGTTGCAGCTCGACGCCCACGCACAGCACGATAATATGTCAGGACAGGCTCGAATTGAAGGCCGTAAGAAGAGGCCAAAGGCCGTGCTATGATGATCGGAACAAATAAATCATCTCAAGGACGGGTTCAGTATAAAGCCAGTGTCATATTACGGTCACCTATTTGGTGGGCCTTTGCGCAGAGTCCAGACTCATCACAATATTACTTACTTTAGCTTACTCTACCCTCTCGTCGTCATGACTGTTGATGCATAAAAAAATATCTTACCAATTCTGTCTTCGGAATCCTCGCGAAGTAGATGCGTTGTATTGGGCGTTTGGTGTCAGTTGCTCGGGATCTAGACGGGGTTTGCACTACTTCCTTAACCATCATTGCCGCCCGGCCCACAATCCTCTATTTTCCGGTGCGTGGACACCCGGAGACAGATACGTCAAAAGTATCGACGCCGCTCCGCGCAAATTCACGGCTACGCTGTGGACCTTCTCGTTACTGGATGATCTACAATCCCACGTCACGGTGAGTAGATTACTCACTAATCACACGTTCTCTGTATGCCATCAGCCTGGAAGCTCCCGAAAAGTATTACTTAGCTTTAAAGCCTAACCTTGTCTGTTAATCCAGATAACGTGCAGGGCCGCTCGCGGCAGAGTCCGCTACGGTCTCATTTCCAATCACAATTAAACTCGATTCATTGGGTATGAATACGTGCACATGATTTTTTCTTCGCTTTCTGGAATTATTTGATAAGTTTTTCCATGTGCGACGAAGCCGTCCTGTCTCCGATCCAGTTTTAACACTGGCTTCATGTGCCTTCGATGAGCGTTCCAAAGGGCGTCGTGCCGTGGTCGTTAACGTAGCCGCTGTCGGGCCGTGCTTTCTGTGAGGATATTTTGAAGCCTTGACGTACAAAGTCACAATCTTCAAATGTTCGTGACGAGTGAGAACCAGAGTCCTGTACCAACATGATGAGAAGTAGACTTCCGCAAATTTTCCACGGACGAGTCAATATCTACCGGAATTCCATAAGCAACCGCTAACGCATTCAGAGCTGGTCTTCGCAACGCTTCGTAGCCATCAAAATTTTGTTCACAGTAAAATCATTTTGCGCTAGTACAGGTGAAGACGACAGAGACAAGCGGGACAGACCCACTTGTGTAGCTGAAACACCTTGTTTGTAACAACAGGCACCACAGAAGAAGTTTTATCTCAGAAAATCAGAAAATCAGAACGATCCCATATAAAAACAATGAATGCGTGTACCTTTAGGCTACTGCGGCCAATAGAAAGCTGGGTGATATCTGGGAATTCTGAAGGCCGTCGGAATCGAGAGCCATCGGCTCGCATGAAAAAAATGTTAGCCAATCACAAGAAAGTTGGACATCGCACCCATTCAGGTAGACAAAACATCTGTCGGGAATAATACCAACCGATCAACGATTGGCATGCGCACCAGCCTGATCTATCTCCCAACGTTGGAGTTCACGTTATGGGTGTCACATGTGGCATATTGCAATTGTGCAAAAGGGACCAGGATACGGTTGATTCCAGACGCAGATTGTTGACACGGATAACAACAGGAAGCCTGTCAGCAAAAAAAGCGAAGGGTCAAACGACGCGAGCACTGACAAAGGCCGCAGAGCACGCGGAAACAATACATTGTACTAGGACTGTGCGAACAAACCAAGTACACTTCTAAAAATGAAGCTTGTACGGCGATGACAAAACCCATTACTGCCGAAGCAGGATATCGGACCCCTGTCACCCCTTCTGGCCACAAAGTACTCATCCGGATCAACTAGTCAACGTGGAAAAAACATACATTGTTATACATCAGGCTATGATGTCTACGCTTTCCGAAATAGACCTAGACCTAAGTTGTCCCTTCACCTTCGGCCCCTCCTTTTTGTGCATTCGTTTCGCTTGTCACAACAGGCTCGAGATTTTGCAATCGCATTTCTACCAAAAACTCTTTATCTCTGATTGCCTGTGACCAGGA